GCTTTCTGTATATATATATATACGCATACACACACACACAGACACAGACACAAACACACTGACTCTATACGAATAGACCAGCCGAGCCCGACATACGCTGACAGATTGGCATGTAGTTACCAAAAGAACGAACCAACGGATTCCGATATGCTACTGTATGGTGAAGAAGCAATCTAACACATCCATGCTAGCCAGCAAATCAACGTGCACACAAGTGCAGGGTGCATAGAGATAAAAGATGTCTATCTATGTCCTATGTGTACGTGACATATAAGGGAGTGTATGGAGAGATAAACGCATGCACCGCACAGGAGCCAGAGCACATGATTGTTGGTTGAATCCGATTCAACAGAACACTGCAGGTTGTTTCATGTCCCTATCACGTTACAACATTTTGGGAATGCATCGTGTCAAGATGCTACTCTAAGATCGATCTCGCACACTATGACCAACCGGAGGCGAACAGCTAAACACCCTACACCCCTTTGATCCAAGGCCTTCAATTTCTTGACATTGCACCGCCTTTCATTCGGAAATTCCGGCATTTAGCGCTGAACAGCCATCTCCACGATCGGGGAAGATCAGGGGTTTTGGCTAGTTTATAGGAGTGCACGACTTGAGGCATGCTGACGCTGTTGTACCGTCTCTTATAATCACTATGTTAAAGTGCCGGAATCTTGCTGTTATCAGGACCAATCGGACATCAAAGGGCAGTAGTTTAGACTACAGGGTGCTCGGCGCATGGCCGTCCCTACTGTTTTGGGACTGAGAGCACGAAGACACTGGGAAACCCGATAGATTGTGTCTGTAGGGTTCAACAGGGGCTTTGGGACGAAACTACTAGTTTAGGTTCGGAAGTACAAGCACTCCTAGCTTCACTCTTTGCGCTTCGTTTGAGCACGAGTCCCCGGTGGTCAAAACCTGACTGCTTGAATGTGGTTGTTTTTTTCTCTTCCGGGCTTGCACATCGCTGCAGCGTAAGGCGAAAGGGGTGAGGAATTGGGGAGTGGTTCGGTATTTGTCGGATGGAACAAACAGCTGCAGAGCAACCATGCAGAGAGCACTGCCTCACACAGGTGTACGCTGTTAGAGAATTGAACGGAGAACTCAAAAAGCCGAGAGTCCGCAACAGTGAGGTCACATCATATCAGTACCGTCAGCAGCAGCAGCAGCGTCGTCAGGAGCATCGTCATCATTGGCAACATAACAAACGTAACATCATACTGACGCCAACCCTGAATGTCATCATCCCCCCCGACCCCCGACAAGAAGGACCAGCAGCTTCATTGCAGAATTTCCAAAAATGACCGAAAAAACAGAATTTCCGAAAGGCCCAGAAGATCGCCGACAGTGCGAAGACCTTGAAACTCGAAACCCTCGCAATTACCGAGTCGAAAAAGCCGAAAGTGAAGGACAACACAGCGGCGCATACGCGCCACAGTCCAACTGCAGCACAGTTCAACACACCCTGTATCAGCATAGCAAGAGCTCGAACGTTCCAGCGTGTTACGAGACTTGAGGTAGTAATCGCTACAGACAGTACTTGTAGGATTGGCTGGGTGCGTTTGCAGACCCGGCTTTTGATGCACGGAGCTCAGCTACGACGCGGATAGTCCTCGTTCTGTGCATCCGGACACTGTTGTGATCATCTGCATTTCCATGCTCGGATTGAACTCAGGAAGAAAGGTGTCGTGAAGAAGGTCGCACCAGCTCATGAAGTGCTCGAGATGAAGAAGCGCGACGACGATGCTTGGTGCTTTGATCTGGCGTTCTGGCTTCATCCGAACTCTTCGAGGTAGGGCTCAGCTCTCAAAGTTTCCCGATTCTTGGACCTGTGACTTCTCTGCGGAGTCGTGCCTCCCTTCAACACCGTGGGTTTTTGCGTTGACACAAATCACATCCCCGAAAGTAGCCAAGGATGATGACGAGGACGGTGGCGACGATGACGAGGAGGAGCCATCTTTCAGGGCGCTTTCCAGGATTCTGCAAGACCTTCGTAGGGGCGAGAGCATGATCCGAAGGTTTAACCGCATTTGGGAGCTTTGCCGCGGTCCATTCAGGGCTCAACTCTGGACGGAGCAGTGCGAGCGTGAAGCTCCAACTAAAGTGCAGTCCTCAGGCTATCAAAACGTGCATGAGTTGTGGGGTTTGGGGGTCTCGTCAGAGATTTCTTGGGTTTTTCATCTTCGTAGATTTCGATCCATATCTCATGACCCGCCAGTCGAAGCAACCGCAGGCTCTTCGGAGCCCTTTAAGAACCCTGCCGCTAGGACGTGCCGCTCTTTGATAACGGACCCGGCGGTTCCGGCAATGGCAAACCTCTGCACAAATGCCAGGCCTTGCCGTGGAGTTTTGGGCGTGGTTTTCCTTCCCGTACAACAAGAGGTAACTTCTGAAGACATTAAGGGCTGAGGGTTTCGCTGTGCAGGTATCGTACATTCAGTTCAGAGTGAGCCTTTCCAGCACACCAGGGTTGAAGGTGGAGGTTGGCTCTCGAGGTCCCTTCTACCGAAAATGAAGCAATATAAACTTTGTACCGTCACCGCCTAGCAGTGACGAGATCGTTCCCATGGAGCATCCAATGCATCTCCTGAAACTGGGCATGCGGAATGATGGCCTGGTACGTGAGAGGGTCGGGACATCCTGGAGTATTCTGCAGAAGTCAGAGATAGTCAGAGGAAGCTGACGGGGAAGATTTCATGGCAAGTTTCCGGGAAGGTCACGCTGCCCTCAGGCCCTCAGCGGCCTTAGAACTTTGGAGTTAAAGCCTACCCCAGCACCTGAGCCTTCAACCCTAAACCAGGAAACCCCTAAGCCTTCAGCCCGTAGACCTTGCACACCCATAAGTCCTGAACCCCTGCAGGGCAGCTGCAGTGATGATGCAGATTGCGAGGGCGACCTCGTCTGCGTCACTCCAAAGTTCGTGGGCTCCGCGGCACCAGACCAACGTTGAGCTGTCAAGGCTTGCGGCGATTAGGTTTGTTGTTTTATTCCAAGATATTCGGTTTAGATGGTGGCTGTTGAACTTCCTGTGAGCTTTGCTGGAAGTTTTCGCCGTGTCGTTATTCGCCTCCTGCTTGGCTTTCTTGCAGTGCATGCAGCGAGCCGACGCGCTCAGTGAGCCGACTCCTGTTTGGGGCATGAGTTTCTTTGTGATTCTCTTTCCCTTCCTCCCTGCTACCCTGCTCCTCCCTACTTCTCTTCTTCTTTCTTTCTTTCCCACCGTTTCTCACCCTCCCTCTCTCGCCCTCTCCTGCATGCCTGCACCCTCTGAGAGATCCACACTCGCGTCACTTTAACCACTGGAGACCAACTAAACGGACGGCGCACGGACTGCAGGTTCTCCAAGCCCTGAGCCCCTTCGGCCCCTTCGCCCGGGAAGCTGAAGACGCCTCCATGACTTCCCGAAACCCCGAATGGAAGGCCCTTCACTCCCCAAACTAGCCCTGAACCTCCCAAAGCTCGAAAGGTTCCTAAGAAAGAGCCCGCTGTTGTGTTCCCCTTTGGTGGGGCTTTAGGGCCGCCTTCGAGGCTGGGATGGCTTTGTGCCAGGCTGCCGCTCGGGGCCCCGGGGCAAGCCGCTTCTGGGCGCTACAGTGCCAAAAAGGGGCTAAATGGGTCTTGTTTTTTCAGGGTTTTTTGTGGCGGGTTCTGCGGCTCGAGGCTTGGAATGAGGGCCTGAGGCCTGTTATGCGAGCTAAGGCTCTGGGAGTTCCGATACTGCTCCGAGAAGCCTCCGGATGGCTGGAGGACCTCTGACCCGGCTCTATCTCGTTCTCTTTGGTCTGTGGCATGCCCTTCTGTTGTGTTAAGTGCCATGTGAGCTTCTATCCTGTGACAAGCGTGGGTTCCACACGTGCTTTTTAGCAGCAACCCCAAACTTCCCAACTCGACCTCACACCATACAGTTCATGCAGTTTAAAGCCCGAACACTGGAACCCCTTCCGAGTGGTTCGGAGCCAGGACCGCCACCACTTCCACCACTACTCCGGAGCCCACGCCTCCGCCTCCCCCTGCACCCTCGGCAGCTTTCCTCGAAGATGTCCGGAAGCTGCTTCAAGCCAAAGGGGTCAATTAAACCTCAAAACCTTGAGACACTATTCGTATTGTGGTACTTTGGGCCTTAGCGTTCCCGAACAGATTGTCAGGATAGGCAAGACCTAGTCTAAGAGTTCACCTCTCGAAGTTAGGGCTCAGAGCTTCTCGAATTTAGTCTTGCTCAGGAGTATCGTAAAGCCACCATAGCAACAGCCAGCCTAGTGGTGGCAAGAAAGTCGTCAGTATTTTCATTTGCCGGGTAAGACGGGCATAAAGGGAACAGATCGGAGAATCTGAACAGTCTGGGCACCTTTTGAGGCCTTCCTTCTCATGGCACACAACAGTGACAGCAGTCGTGCAGCTGAGAAATATTTGGACGATTGAATTGCGAAGTTCTTGTCATCGTGCCAAAGCAAGCCTAAAGCTGTGACAGAATCCCAAGACGTCTTACGGAGAGAAGCGCCAGGCTCTTGAAGGACAGGCGAAGATCCAGGGAAGATGCGGCCCGAAGCACCCAGACACAAAGCCCTCCTTTCAGGTAATCACAGACTGTCCTGCCGGAGGTGTTTGTGCACGTGTCTCGATCAGAAATCACCGGATCGTATAACCAGGTGCCTGCGGTCGAGTTAGACGATCCAACACTACTCGTCACGACTACTACCGCTACCGCTGCCGGATTCTTTCCAAGTATTCGGCTTTGTGAATTTCTGATTTGAGCAGAAACCTGCACAGCAGCATACAGCCCTTAAGCCCCCAACCCAAAAGCTCGACCCAGGTCTCATGGCTTTCAACGTCTACTACGCGGCGCTGGGCCGAGAAGACCGCATGGATGGCATCGCCCAGGTGACGGGATTTTGGGGGATCTTCGGGTTTTAGATCTCGGGTTTTGTCATTTAGGGCCTAGGAGCTTTGGGTTTATAGGGCTTAATAGTTTTTGGGAACCTTCGTCACTCCTGCTCTCGAGGGTTATGGGTTTGCCCCGAAATTACCTTCAGCGGGTGTCACGCTGAATTACTGATTGCTCCATGATATGCCCCAAACCTTGTTCCAATTAGCAAGACCCCGACAATTGCAGGTACTTCGTGCCACCGTTCGGATTGGGGGTTTTTGGGTTTGAAAGCTTCGCAGGCGCACTCGACAACATTCAAACGGTCCAAAACCCCCACAGACCACAGGAGCCCCGAACCCGAAGCCTAAATCGCAAGCCAAAGCCCCACATGGCTGTGCCTTTCAGGCCATTGCCGACGTGACGCCCGACATCGCCGTCATCACAGAGACTTCGCTACCATCTCTCCCGGATTTGCTCAGGTCACGAAGCTTCGTCGTGTATGAAATATTAATGACTCTACACCTGTAAGTCTGTAAGTGTTGTAGCTGCATGGAAATGAGATAGGTTCGTAGACAGAAACGCTCGGATGTGATGTCGTAGTAGTCATCGCAGCCAGCGATTCTGTGTCGGCCTACGATCAAGTCAGCAGTGTTTTCGAAGTTTGTTTTGGCACGTTGGCTTCTATCGTTCTCTTGTTTGTGTTGGCACCTTAGCAACCCCGAGCCTCCTTTGAGGAGACCAAGCCAGTAGAATCGAAAAAGCGCACGCCATGCGAGCCTGACCGATACACCCGAAAACCTGAGGCCGAAACTATAAGCCTTGAACGCTACTATGTAGCACAGCCTAACCCCTCTGAGGAGCAGTGGAAGGAGAAGCCGACAATCCTCGAGAAACTCGGCAGACTTGAAAGTGAGCATGATAAATCCAGGACTTAGCAGAAGCGATGATAGTAGCAATGGAATCATGGTAATGCCTCTGCTATCTGCAGCAATGACAATGATAACGGCTCGTGGAGCATCGTCAATACAGAATTTGGGTGTGGGGCATGCCGCTTCCTCGCGGATGCAAAGGTTCAGCGGGCATACATGGGGATGTGTCCATATGCATGGTTATGTACATATGCGGCAGTGATGCTGCGCTGCGATGACATTGACATGCCTTCAGGTAGTGGTTTGTATGTGCTTTTGTTTCAATTTCTTGGTTACAGTATATAATCCAGTTTCTCACTCGCTCGCATAGATAACTATAGTTGTAGATGGATGCCAGGCTGCATTGTATGAGCAGACTTTACGCAGCAAAGCTCTGTAAATCAAAAGGCTCGCCATCATCATCTACTACTGCGTGCTTTTCTCTAGCTGCATTCGGTTATTGACTCCTGTAGTTTTCCTTGCCCTTTCAATCCCCGCACCGGGTGTATGCTCAGCATGCTCTTTCGAAGTACTCCGACTGGGTTGCAGCTCTGCGGTTGCTTCAATGCTTCGAGAGAGAGGGGGGAGCAGATGCATAATTGTATTGTCGCGCTATGTTTGCATAAGCGGGCTCAAGTTGATTCTTCGTTTTGCTGCAAAGACCCAGGAAGATCAAGCAGAAGACCAACAAATACTACGCCTTCTGCCTCGGTGGCCCGCAGGACTTCCCTTAAGGAAGGAAGCCTCGTAAGCTTCAAATATAAGTGTATAAGGACCCCCGACAAAGGCAATCGGTTCGGCTTCCTGTTTGGCAGTTTCCACAAGCCAGGGGCTTGAAAGGGTGATAAAAATGGAATTTCCGGGACGAGATCCGAAGCTTGCTTGACGTGCTCGCCTTTGACAGGAGAAGTGGTGGGACGGAGACATCCTTTACAGAGCAGACCTCTTCGAAGTCGTGATGCTGGGCTTGAAGGCTGTAAGTATTCAGGTGCTGTTTTTTCTCCTTTGTCGGTCGCGGTATGTGTGTGTGTGTGTGTGGACCTCTGTTGCCAAGAGGAAATACCGATTTTTGGATTGCAGGGGGCAGTGGACATTCTGGAAGGCACTGCCCAACGAAGACCTTTCTCAATCCACGTACCTGCGTGTTTCATGTCTGAAGTTTCAAGTTGCCTTGTACAGCATAAGTATCTGCAGAGCATACAAGATGAGCCTTGAGCCTTGATTGGCCCCGGAACCCCTGAAAGCTTCATGCTTTCGAGATACATCAAGCTGTGCTTGATAAACAACAGATGAGTGGCTGCGCGATGGATGCCTAAGTGTGTACCAGGTAGTTGCAAGCTGGACTTGTATTCGTTTA